TCCTTCTGAGCGCTTTAACCTTCGAAAGAAAGTTTCGATTTTTGAAAGCGTGAAATAGGTTAGCCCCCTTAAGGACGAATATCCAAAGACATGGTATCATTTGTCATTGCTGTTTCAAAAAAAGTAAGGCTTGGACTAACTAAGAACTAGATGTCTATTAATAACTCTTAAGTGTTCATGTTAAAATTGTTTGGTCGACAAAACGAAAGTGACGTAAAAAATTAAATGAAAATTACGACTACTCCTATTATCAGGTTCAACCTTTATGATACAAGACTGATAGACTGATACTTTTTCTTTACATTAGCTTTCGGTACAAATAACAAACTAGAACCTCAACACGACATTCAGAAATCTTCACTTGGGTTCAAAATGAGAAAGAAAAAACCAAAATTTATGTACCGGCTTCTCACATTGAATGTTCTAAGCACAGAAAACGGCTCCAAAGGTACTAGCACAAAATCGCGCTAGCCAATGGCCGCAATTAATTATTTGTTGCCAAACTGATACAATTTTATCTGCGAACGATGCGGTTTGTTGTTCATCTGGTTTGTTGTTCATCTCTCAAACTGAGAAATCAGCTCAGTCAGTCAAAAATTAATGCGTAAGCTCAATCATTTATAAACCAAATTGGGATTGTTACCTGTTTACTGCGTATTACTTAAAACATGGTGGGCAGGCTAACATTTCAGCGGAAACGACATTTAATTTTGTTTTTGTCATAACAAAGTAGAGCCATGCATGCATACATTCATATACATGTATACATATACAAATATATAACCTATACTCTTAATTTGATTCTCCTTTTTTAAACATGTTACAATTATTGATTGATCCGCTTTGAATTTCGATTATTTGTTTCAAAAGTAATTATGAGATATTTGTTATTAATTTTTGTAATTTTAAAGCCGGCGGAACCAATACGAGAGACTGAGGTGTAATTGACAATTGCAATAAAATGATCATCAAGTTCTACATACATGTAATATTGAAACTAACCTGCAGTTATCTTCGCAAATTCGAAAACTAATCTAAGTGATATAATAAAGTATGTGTATGTCATTACATTTTATAAAGCCCCTGTTGATCAAAATTTCTAATATGTACAATGTAAATTAAAATAATAATGCAGCAGCACATAGAAGACCATAAAAAGGTTAAAAGCATTAGTAAAGTTATGTAGGACCTCAACCTAAGCCGGAAAAAAGAGTTCGTTCATATGCACATATTGTATTTGTCTACACCGTGAGAGTTACCTTATTTAAATATTGGTTGTCAGGGGATGTGTGTAAGTATCAACATTTGAAACGGGACTACCTGAATGTTAACAAGTTTTAGTATTCAAATAAATAAATTTATTTCAAATAAATATTTTTTGGCTAGGGTATGTTGTTAAATGAACCTTACAAAATGAGTTAATTTTAAGTACAGCTCAAACCAATTAAACGGATTTTAATTATTACTGATTTGCTACAACAACAATAAATACATGAAAAACAACCATATTGTTCACCATCAAGACTAGCTACTATTACTACTTTAAACTTCAATATACAACAACAACAGCAACATCGTCTTAAAAGTGTCTTCTGCTCCGCTTCAAATTCTGTATGTTTAGTAATTTTCTCTGATATCTACTGAACTATCTTCTACAACCACCTTCAATACAAACGCTAATCCAACTCTACACTTCTAATGGGCATTCAAACGTACGTAATTGAAATATTATTTTTTCTCTACTTAAAAACATTATTAACGAACCATCATGCACGTCGATTAAAGTATAAACTGTAGCAGTACGAATCAAGTCATATAATCAATTAGTACATTTACGACTAAGTGTAAAGTCCTCCTCGCATATTCCTACATTTTCCTTACCTTTATGCGGCACTTCCACGCCCAATTCTGCCAGCACACATTTAAGTACCAAAGTAGGATTTTGGATTTTATCCTCCGGATCAGGTTTTTCTATGTTTGACTATGGTGCCAGTCGGCAGTTTCGTATGGTAATAGAAAAAAAGTGGTTTACTAATGTTATTTATTTATACCGTTGTGACTTACCTAATGGATTTTATTAAAATTTTGATGGACTGACTACTTATATTGTATGATACACTTTTCTACAGTAGGTGTGTACTATTATTAATCGGTTCGGTGAAGTTAGTTAGTTTAGTGAACGTGATTTTTAGGTAGGGGACTTAACATTTTTACATTAGGGCAAATATAAAATAGTGCTAAGCCAAGAAGGAGGTCATGGGTTTAACTAACTTCTCGAATGCACGGTGATTTCGTACATAGTTAATTATTTATATCACTATTTCCTTATCTTTTTTTAAAATTTATTAAAAAATGTATTTTAAAGGATTTACATTTTTTTTATTTCTAATATTAAAATATAAAACAATAAGTTCGCTTTAATTTTTTAATTTATTTAAATAAAATGCCATTTTTTTACATTTTTGAAGAATTTATAAGTGAAATGTAATTTATTCCTGCACTTTAGGCGCATTGCTTTCAGTAAATGTTCAAAATTCGTACGCATACAAATCGCAAATTTACGAGAAAAGTGAATTAGTCGAAGAAAAAAATTTTAAATTATAAACAAAAAGTTTGTTTTATTTTTCTTTATTTAATTAAATAAATGCATTTTTTTTTAAATATATTTTTAAAGAGAAATTGAATTTAATTTCTGCATTTCAGGCGCAATGCTTTCAGTAAATGTGGTTAAAAAATCATAGCCATTTATCGAAAATTCACCAGAGGAGTACATAAGTCGAAGAAAACTTTTATTAGGGCGTGCCCCAGAAATCGCAGACCGCCTATTCAGCGTTACTTTCTTATCATTAGGTTTCTGTATTTTATGTGTGCATCAATTTATATCAGATTTTATATGACTTGGCGCTGGAGTGATTTCTGTGGCACTCCTGATTTTGTTATGACCATTCTGTAGGTTCTTTGTGTAACATTGTCATCATCCCACTTTTGATACACAGAGCGTGTCAAACGTAAAAGTATAATTGCTTTGCTGAAAGACATTTGGCGCTTAAAAACTTTTAATGTGCTAATCTCGAACTGCTATTTCTTGACACATCTCTCTATAAAGTAGGGGAGGTCTGTAGGTTGGGACACTGCCCGCCAATTAGTCATTCGCTTATAAAACTTAAAGTTATATGTGCCTGGTTTTTTAGGCAAGAATTTTTTTGAGTCAACACAAGGTCAGTAATTGGGGACGCTTTTAAAGTCATTAAAACTAACCTTAAAAGTACTCCAAATTTTTAAGAACTATTTGTCTTTGAAAATTTGTTCAATTTTAGTTAGTTTTAGGCACTTCTCGTGCGTTTTAAAGTAAGTTAATTGAATTACGATTGCTTTGCAAATTTGGGTTAGAGTTCTTATAATGGTAATCAACTTTTTTATGAAACTGCAAACTTGGTAACTATGGCGGAAGTAGCCATTAAAAATAGTGAAAAGCGTGATTGCCTAATGTGTAACTATATGATTAAAACGGTGCTATAAACATCTAAACCACAAGCGAATATGTATATATCTTTCCTAAAAACAAATTTTTTTTATGCAAAACATTGTAAATTCAAAAAAGGAACAAGGATTTTAAAAAGCTACATTTTATATTAAGGTACATCAATTACTTAGGTCGACAAAATCCGGACTTGTTGGCCGAAGATTTAAATCAAAATCTGAAGGGATTTTACCTAAAGATTACGACCCAAAACCTAGAAACTTTTTATCACGTCACAGCTTTTAGAAATTCGTAGTCAAATAAACACACTTTCGATTTTTAAACTTTTTAAGGCCTTATAACAGCTAAACCATAGATGTGTCGACTTACTTTTTTATCTATAGTAGCCTCAAATTTTCCTTGTTAAAGCTAGACCCGGACACTCACAACACATAAAATTCCAGGATACTTAGATGAAAAAAATGATAAACCACTAACTTAGGAAGTATCATTGTTTAAGTTAAATGTTAAAAGTATCATTTCATCTACACTCCGGTCCCGGGTTCCGGTTTGGGATCGTCATCTACCGGTAGTTTAAGTCCTTTCAGATTTTGTAGCGTTTAGTCTTGGCCTTATTTGTCGACGTGTGTTTTATTCTGTTTGGCATATCAAAAATGAACTCAGCCGAAGCTCAATTGGTATTTTATAAAACTTTATATATACTATACTATATTCTTGCATCAATTCACTACCACTATGCGAGCTTTATAATATTTTGAGTAAAGCCAAATCAACAATCTCGTTTTTTGTTGTTGTTTAGAATACCTGTGAGCGATAATATAACGTCATATGTCAAAACATAGTAGTTTTGGTGTCTTCACGTTTGTATATACCTTTATAAATAGTTAATTTATTTAATATTCCTTTGTTTGGAGTACTAAAATGAATAAACAACCGTTTGTTAGACTTAGACACGACAATTACAACAGCATGCCCCATATATATTAAAAGGATACTTGATTTTCAAATTTTAACGTTGATAATAGTGTCTAAATGCATTTTGGTTTGATTACTTCTTTGGTTTGATTACTTCCTACTTTACTTTATATATGCATATGCACAGGAGAAAGCCACAAGATTAATAACGTTGTATTCGTCCGCATTAGTGTCTCTCTTTCTGAATCCGAGTCCGCTTAAGTAAACATAAAATCCTTCGCACGCAGGATGAAAAGCTTTATTTTTATGTATGACTACACATTCCTAACCGGCAACGCAATAAAGCTTATATTGCAGATCTGAAATGTTTGAAATATTTTTTGCAAAAGCACTCGATTGACACCCGAATAAAACCATTTGGTTTCTGCTTAATTTTGTTTTTAAAAAAATAAACCTGCGTATAATAGTTTTACATATGAATTTACAAAAAAAAAGTAAATGCATATAAATACATGTTTTAACTGTAATGCTATTTCGTTATTTGTTTCCTTTATGTTTACGTTTCTGTTTCTGTTCGTTTTTTGTCTAATTTTGTTTGTTTCAGTTGCGTGTGATTCGTGCTTTTCGCTCGACATTGGAAGACCTTAACGAGCGCCGATCGATGCACAGCTTGCATAGCTTACGCAGTCCTCGGACGGGTATGCCGGTTCCAGTGGGCCACCCGTTGTACAATTTAAATCTGCTGAGCCCCAATTACATCAAGCACCACCAACAGCAACCAAAACAACCACCGCAGCCTCAACAGAACGTGTCAAGCGCCATGCTACCGTCGGATATATCTTATATTGACGAAGACCCGCAACAGCATCAGCGTACTTTGCACAACGGACTAACTTCCCAACACCCATCAATATCCACAAACACAACTGCCCCTGCCTCAAGCCAAAGCTTCTCAGAAATTGCACACACCTTGCAACATCAAATCCGTTGTAATAACACCGAAGCAAAACATTCCAATGGACAGAATGAGACTCGAATTTAAATAGTTTCAGTTGTTGTCTTTAATCAAATAAGGCGTCCCAGTTAAATTTGATGTTGTGTTTACTTTGAGACAGTGTGTATCATATCGTGGTGAGGCCCATCAAGAATTCAACATTCAAATCAATCTAGCCATTGTTTTCCAAACATAATCCCAAATGTGAGCCTCAGCCCAATATAATAAGGGATTCCTCATGCTTATTACAGAATGGAATTTTTTAAGGAAACACGTTGATCATTTTTTGATTAAACTGTAAAACCTTATAGGAACCGCAATTAGACAAAAGTGAATTTATTTAGCGTATATATTCAAAAGTGCATGTAAATTTTATAATCCCGGATATGTAACATTTATTTTCATCATATATAAAAAAGCTTGTTATCCTGAATCCCGAAAATGATGATCCGTAACATAATATTTACCTATACCATTTAGAAAACGTAAGCATGCATTTTATATAATAACTTCGTATTTTTGCAAAAAAAATGTATTATTGTATTACTTTATTACTAACAAAAACTCAAATTTTACGTCTATTCTTTCTGCGTGGAACGTTTGTATTAACGAAGTTAAAACAACGTGGAGTTGCTTGTCAACATATTTACTGTGTATCTCAGTATTTTTTGGGCTGCTCCTTAATTAACTTGGCAACTTTTCTATACGCGTTATTTCCAATAAAAGTTTGTTGCGGAGTTGATTATTTTCCAAATGCAGAGTATAAAATGAACCATATATCGCAAATGTATAGACATTTATATACAAAAATATAAGCACGTTGGTATCAGTCAAATGTGGTAAAGTAAAAATTATTCGCTTGAAAATATATAAATAATTAGGCAGTTATATTGATGGTCCATTTAAAACGCTCGGTAAATACTTACATGTGCATACATATGTCGAAGGTTGGCTGGTAATAAATTGCAACACGTTTCATAAAAGGTTTTACCTAGTCATCATTTGGTAAATTAAAATGTAAAATTAAGCAATTGAAAATGAGTAAAGAGTTAGGTAGCGGTATGGATCTTTCATTCAAAAACGTTGATTAAGATCGTATATGTGCATACATATACTTATATCGAAGCCGGACATATATATATATTTTTTTTAACACTTTCAGATAACGTTTCCCTGCTCATAATTTAAATAAATTCCTGTTGTGTCCTTTCCAGAATTATTACTTGCTAAATCTTAGAGTTAACACGTCCTCCTTTTTCACATTTACATAATAATGCAAATATATTTAATATTATACACTAACCGAAACATGCATAATCATGGTGCATACATCTTTTTGAATATTTTTGAACACCAAAGTATTTTTTGATCATTTAATCTTACATTTATTTGCTTTAAAAAATTGAACAACAATACATGTATATTATTATATTAAAATTAATGTTAAAATGTTTGTAGTGAACCATTTTTATAGCAGCAAGATTAATCTAAATTTCAGCCTTCTTATATCTATTTTTCTCTTTCCCACTTATTGTTTTCTGTTTTACTTTCTATCTCTCTCCCTCTCTTTCTCTTCATTCTTAAAGGTAATAGGCGGCGAATTGCAAGAACGCTTGATTCCGGTCCCATATAGCAAGAGCAACACTGATCAAGCTGTAAGCCTTCACAATTTTATTCAAATTAATGTTTACAAATTTATATTAATTAAAAAATCCAAGTATTAAGTTCTATTTTGGCCAAAATGTGGCACTGAGAATGAGCTTAAAAAATGGTATAACTTTAATGTGTTTTAATATTTATACATAACATTTAAAACGTCTGTTTGTCTGCAATAATACGCGCTGAATATAAAGCATTAAAGCCTAAGCTAAAAATTAAAACAGTTCTCTCGATTCAAAAGTTGCCGTACTTACCGAATTAATGGTAACAGACAGAAAAGGAAAAGCTCGGATATCCGAATAGCTCAGACATATCTAAGATTCCTTTTACCTTGTTAATTAATTATGGCTTTCGTTTTCTTTGGGCACTGCTTTTTGTTTTTCCATTTCTATCCTGTGAACAATTGATTTTTATAGTAGTTTTGTCACTAATTAAATGAATTTCCAATTTGATTGTTGTGTTACGCATGCTAAAATTATACTTGCTTTTAGATTTTTGTTCATTAGTTAAACTAATGTCGTCCGAATTACCGATCATTTAAACACCATATAAAAAGGACTAGCATCACATATTGATTGTGAAAAATGCTATTGCTTATTATATGTCCGTCTGATTAAAGTGGGATGCAATTTTTCCATTTTTGGCTTAAGGTCTGCATAACTATTTAACCACGTGTACACAACTGCTCGTAGAAAACATAAAATGGTCCCTTTTTTGTATTTCATTTAGTTTATACATACATAATAGGAATGTATCTTCATATGTGCATAATCGGCTGTTTAGCTTGACTGATTAAATATGTTCATCTTATACTGTTGTTTCTGTCACTTTTGTCACTGTTCTTGGTGTTGTTCTTTTCTTTTTACCTAATGTGCGCTTAGATTCGTGTGGTGAACGCATTCCGGCAAGGTCTCGACGCCCGTTACGGTGATCACACCAACACGTCCCTGGCAGAGGTACTGCGCAAGCAGACTTCTCTGAGCAAACGCCTTTCGGAAACATCTTCCATTGAGTATGCCGACAATATACCCGATGAGCTGACCATACCAGAAATCGATGTCGAACGTTTATCATCACACAGTCACACTGAAACCGCAGTTTGAATTTTATTGGCATTCATATCCATTTAAACATACAAACAGCACACATTCTTGAAAATTACAATTTAAACCAAACTCATGCACATCGTGACAGTGAGTGCATATATACTGTTATCAAACTGTACGTGTTTTGTTATAATATTATTTTGTTCAAGGAAACGGCCAATCCTGCTTTGAATTGTTAAGAAGAGATACTGTAACGCAGCCAACTACATATACTGAAATAAGCAACCCGGAAAAGCCAAGTCATATTTTGAAATTGTCATAATTTACAATAGAACATAGCCCACGGGCCACTTGCTGTTAATATGAGTGTTTACAATAATAAAAGGTACTTAAAATAAACTAAATTATTATACAATGCAGACATATTGACTGTAATCACTCTTACCTACAATTAACTCAAAATGTATATGGACAGATCCTATTACACACACTCAAGCCATCAATTACTATTACTATTACAATTAATAAATGAGTCAATGACAAAAAATGATTTTCAGGTGTTTCTTTGAATGTAAAAGGTAATTATTATCTGTTTATCTACAATACTTGTATATTATCGCACTTGACTTAACGTCTATCCTTACTTAACTACCTAGCTTCCTACCTATAAGCAACTTGCTTAGTTTATTGCGCTAGACACGATGCAGTGTGAATTTACCCACCCAACGAAAACATTTGTACGCTGTATTTTTCGTAATCTTTTACGTGTACATCAAAATAAAATGTCTTACTTTTTTTCCAATTCTAAAACATCGGTTGATTCGTTCGAAATTGTAGTTTCTCAAAGATTAATTACCTATATATATGGTGGCTACCCTACATTCGAAAATCCGCCATGTTTTTAGCTGCTTACTATACAATTCAGTAAAGCAATGTTGCTCAACATGACCAGCACTCAAAAAATAAAACAGTAAGCAGCTAACCGGTTGTGTTTATTTCTGAAATCCCTTGTTTCATAAAATGTTTATAAAATTTGTTTTATATTATTTTTATACCCGTTACTCGTAGAGTAAAAGGGTATACTAGATTCGTTGGAAAGTATGTAACAGGCAAAAGGAAGCGTTTCCGATCCCATAAAGTATATATTCTTGATCAGGATCACTAGCCGAGTCGATCTAGCCATGTCCGTTTGTCCGTCTGTCCGGATGAACGCTGAGATCTCGGAAACTATAGGAGCTAGGCTATTGAGATTTGGCGTGGAGATTCCTGAGCTTCTTACGCAGCGCAAGTTTGTTTCAGCAGAGTTCCACGCCCACTCTTACGCCCACTAACCGCCCAAAACTGTGGCTCCTACAGTTTTGATGCTAGAAATAAAATTTTAACTGAAATGTGTTGTTCTTATCAATACCTATCGATCGACCCAAAAAAAGTTTGCCACGCCCACTTTAACGCCCACGCCCACTTTAGCCGAGGTACTCGACTATAGCGTTCTTCCTTGTTTGGTTTGCATTTTCTCCGATAATTATATAGAGTTACCGGAGTTTAATTGTGACGATTTCACGCTTTCAGCCTAGTACTCAGATCGGCTAAGAGTTTCACTAGTCGAAAAATCTTATTCTTAGTAGTGTGACCGATGTTTTCAAAGTTCCAAATTCAAAGCTGGGTTTGTTGCCAATCGGAAAACAAATCAAATGGAAAAATTAAAAAAGGAGTCTGCTGGTATTTAAAGAAACTTAAATAAAAATAAATGGAATGTTCAACGAATCCTTTCACTTATGTAAATTAGTAGTTTAAAGATTCCTTCTCGTCCCACGGATGCTTCGCCATTTTTCCCGCCACCGCAGTCCAGCTCCGAGTCCCAATAGGCATATTGGACCTTGACGAAGTGGGAGAACGGGGTTGATCCCCTGATGCTGCAGGAAGTCGCCCAGCATCCTGGCAGTGGCTGGCTATGGCTTCTCCAACTGTTCCGTAGCGGGCGCCCTATTTTCCTCCTCCAGCTCCGCTTAAGCTGCCAAGAAGCTGGTGGTGGTGGTGGTGTCCGGAGTCCTAATGGAGAGGTCGACGGAGATCGTATTACTGGTGGTTCTGCTTAAAAGATACTTCTATTAGTACAACGCAACAAAATTATTTGGCCAGATCTTACCTTTTTTGCGAGGACGCGCCCAGCAGGCTGTCCATGTAGAGATCGAAGTCCCACTCGGCATGTTCCTACCCACTGGGATTCTCTAGTGGATCTCCTTCAGCACTTCAACTATTCTGCGAATTTGCCCCTTTTGTAAAATTGCTTCCTGTCGGTGAAATCGCACAATAAAGGGCATAAGCTTGGATTTGGCGTCCTATTTCATCTGCACTGACCTCCTGCATCCGATTTTGGGGTTTTCCTTCCATTTTTAATTTTTAATTTCCACATCGCCTATGCACGAACACCGCCTTTAATTTAATATTTTATTTTTTGGGCCGCGGCTAACGGCGCTCATCGAAAATTCACTCGCGAAATCTGGTATTTTTTCTGGTATTTCCTTAGCTCTGAGTACCGCGCTGAAAAACAGACCCCGACGAAAAGCGTTAGCCGCGTATTTGCCTCTCGCTCACTCCTATGGTTAGCTCGCGGTTTTCGTCGATCTGAGTACTAGGCTTTCAGGTTGAATTCACAGTCAACTTTCGTGTGTTGTCGAATTCATGAAACCGTGTTTATGCACACACGAATCAGCCCATTTCATGAAATGAAAGCGTGAAATGGCCATCGCATAAACGCAGTATAAGTTAGCTCACTCATGGCTAAGGAATCACGTGGTTCGAAACATTCATTCTTTTCGTAGGACCAAGTCTCCCGACTGCCCGTCAATACTGATGAAGTCATAAAAGAAGCAGATTTCCTTGATGCTGTCCTCCTGGTCATTCGTCTTTTGTAGCCAGATGAGGAATTTTCGTAGCCGCTTCATTACTTTGGGATATTGGAATTCAAGTTATCCAGCCTCCTTACCTTATTTATAAACAAGTTCTTAATAAACAATTCTTAGCTGAGAACGCCTTCCAGCTCAAGTGCCCAGCCGCCATGCCCAAGTCATAAACAATTTCTTATAAACAATTTCTACCTGGGAACCCATTACTCAGCTTCCCACAGAATCCCAATTAGCTCCCCCACTTCAGTAGATGTTCTTTATTAAGATTCAATTACGCCGCGGTCCTTCTATCATCAACTAAGCTGGGTCCAGCTAATGTAAACACAAGCATCCGGTCAACACCCGGCGAGCCTAAAATCTGCAGAGTACTTCGTTTAGCAATCGAGCAGAGAATTTGATCATCCAATTTCCCAACTCCCTTAAGTCCAACTCCTAATGAGTTTCCCAATTCTCTTAAGCCGAGGTTTGCTTATCAGATAATCGGCCCTTGGCCCGGTAGTCCATTTTTGCATCCGAGAAGATCAGTTCTAACCAATAATTATTGTGAACAGTGAAATAAAAATCGATATTAAGGAAAACTTGTTAATAAGTGAGTTGCAGGCGGTCATGCTCTCGGGGAAACACTCTGATGTCCGTTGTCTGTAGCTCAATGCCTATTCTGGCCACTGGGATCCCACGCATTTTTCTTGGAACAATGATTATCTTCCGACTGCAGTGCAGCCACCTTACAATCTCGGAGTGTTTGGGCCTTTCCTCTGATCATGTTCCGCTCCCGATATATTTATCTTTTGCTGCCTATCAGGTCATTGCCAAGACTTGGTTTTAAACGCGGGGCTCGAATATTTTAAGTTTCGGTGCCGGGCTCATTGCTTTGACTAAGGCTTATTCCGAATAACGGTGACTCCTTGGCTCAGGTTTTGGTAGGCAAGATCTATCAAGCTGCCCCTCCTGCTAGAAGTGCACCTATTCCTCCGCCAAAATAGGCTTGTTCGAAAGCCAGAAGTGCAGTCGTGGCATGAAAAGGTTATACACTTCGCCTCGTTTGGATGAGAACAAGGCCTTCCCTTGACTTGGCAAGTGGAACTCAGAAAAGTCCTCCGATTAACAAAAGCAGAATTTTTCGTGAATCATCTCGGTGCCATTGATCCTTACCAGAAGTTTGGATTCGCATCATGGAAATGCACACACAATCTAAAAAGGTATCTCCATCACAGGTTTTCTCTAAATCGAAGCAATGGCACATGGGCTCACAGCGATTCTGAAAAAGTATAAGTATTTGCACACGATCTGGAAAATCGCTTTACTCCGTTTAATTTTGTAACAACCCAGAAAAATCGGAAAGGTTTGGACTCTCCTTCGGTCTTCCTTTTGTTGTGCGGTTAGTGGATTACGAAGAGGTGAATAATAATATTATGCGATTGGTCCCCACAAAAGCTCCTGGCATGGATAAGGTTGATGGTAAAGTAGCAAACACTCATTAACCCAGTCATTGCGCAGCTCTGCCTTCTCTTCTCTTCCTTCCCTTGGATACGTGCGCCTTACATAAATTCTTTCAACAAGGTAAACCCCGCAGGCTGATAAGTCTTCTATCCACGTTTTCCAAGATATTGATGCCTTTAGTAATGCTCTACCAAACCACCAGTTTGATTTTCGTAGCCGCTACTCCGGCGTTGGACATTTTCACAGAGTAGTGAGCCATGGTCTAGATGCCTTATAAGGTCATAAATACTTGATGTCAAAGAGGCATTTGATAGGGTTTGCCATAAAGGTCTTCTCTACAAACTAATGCCGCTGTTACCCGAGGGACTCTGGAAGCTCGTTGTCATTTCTGGTTGACATTAGTTAACATCTATCTGGACTACGTGAAATTCGTGCTGGTTTCCCACAGGGAAGCACTCTTGTCCCGGTTCTGTACAGAATGTATCTCCAAAACCCAATTACTCATGGTACACTTCTTGACACCTATGCAAATGATACGGCATTCCTTGCATCTGATCTTCAACATCCTGGTGTGTAGAGACCCAGACGTTATTGAATGAGTTTGAATGCTGTCTTCTCGGTGGAATATTGCGCTGAACGTTGATAAAACGCAACACGTTACTCTTGCTCTCCGACCTAGCCGCTCTCATAGCCTTCACTTGGATGGAAATAGACTTAAGCATCAGGAGAAGGTAACTTAGCTTGGTGTTATCCTTGACCGTCGTCTTTGCTGAAAGGGTCAGATTTATCGAGTCAGAGCGTCAAAAAGGACGAAACTGGAAAGAATAGACTGGATACTTCGTCCAGATAGCTATCCATGAGCCTCTTTCCAAACATTACAACTACCCCATTTACTGTACGAATACGGGTATAGAAACATTTAAAGGAGCGGATTTCATTCCAACCTTCTCGGTGTATTTCAAACCTAAAGAAAAATTTTGTCCTTAAAGAAAAGTCTACTTTTATTATCAAATCGTTTATACACTCACTTATACTAACACCGAACTTATTAAAGGTTAGAAAATATAAATATATGTACACGAATTTATATTCGAAGGTGAATCTCTTCGGGCGAAATTCGGGTGGAATGCTTACGTACATCAATACAAATTTCACCCGAATAGTTTTTACATTTTTGAGTTCTCCAGTGTTGCAAGTATAATTTTTCTTGGGCTTACTCTACAAAGAATTAAGTAATATAATAGATTTTGAATAAAAACAACAACATTTAATAAAAAAAAACACTGAATCCAATTCGAATGTATTAAATAATAACTCTTGCCTGGGTCAAATAGTTTTATTTTCCCGAAATAATTTAAAGCGAACATTATAAATATACTATTGTTTTACAAACGCTATGTCGACTCATAACTCGTCAGTAAGGCAGCATCAACCGGCTCTAAGCAACTGGGACACGTAAGACTCCTCAACAACCAATCGTCTATACATTTAACATGATAAATATGCATGCAAGGAAGATAGCGCACAGATTCATCAACACAGAATTCTGCCATGCAAATTACACATTCTCGTACTTTTTTCGAGCTCCCGTCATACGTTCCAATAGGCAAATGCTGCATTAATCCAATACGCTTAGCAATCTTCACTTGATTTTCATCGGAAAGTTGTCGGTTGATTGAAGGTGTTCGATTTGAGGAAGCTGAGGTGGTGGGGTAAAATACTGGTTGATACTGTTCGTCCTGCTGAAAAGAAAAGGTCCATTAAGGTCAGTTTCACGAATTTTTAAAATAAGAAAATCTATAAATGTACAATAAAAGGAAAAAAGGTATAGTCGAGTGGCCCGACTATCAGATAACCGTTACTCTGTTGACTACTTTCAAAATGATTAGGCTCCTACTTGCACATTACGTAAAATGCACATTTGATTTGACGCTGACAAATGACGCCGGCATCGTGTTTCCAGACTATTATAAAAATACAGTCTCTTAAAATGTTTATAAATGTTTGAGTGAGGTATTTATTAACAAAATATAAGTGCAAGTTTGGTTTAAAGTTTAAGAGTTACCACAACAGAAGACAGCATTATACCTAACAGCAGAAAATATCAGCAGAAGCAGTGAAAACTTAATGGAAATTTTCTTGTAAGTAGGCCCCCAAAAATTCACTAAATATAATCTTTTAGCAAAACAAAGTTTTACTTTTTGCTTGGAAGCAACTTGTTACGTAAATATTTTATTTTGATTCTTAGAAAATGAAAACAACAAAGGTTTGCAGCCAAACATGCTTAGACTTGTATTTAAAAACTCAATTTTAAATTTGTCGCGTCCGTAATTTACCTATTTTATTTTGTGTCTAAGAACTGGCTGGAGTGAGTCTGATATTTTAACATAAATAAAACAGCCTCTTTTTCACACTTATTTATAATTTTAAAGAAGGCTTCGTTACACCATGAAATAATATTTTGTTTTTTATTTGAGTTTGTATTATGCACTGGGCTGTTATTTCTGACTGTGAGGGTAGGCCGAATTGATGCCGGCATCTCTGCCAGAAAAGGAGTCAGACTATGCTGCCATCGTCTGGAGCTAGTCGTCGCAGGACTTCAGATGGCTTTAAGGCAAACGTTCTTCAAACCTGCAGGAGTATGGGCAGTTCCTACTTAATAGTCAGTGAATTTATATTATACAATACATATAAATTTTCCCGAAAAAAAAAATATAAATATAAAATTGACAGTAGCTCGAAAACGTTCTAAGTGTCACTTATCATTACAAAAATATGTACACTAACACTTTCCCAAGGAAAGACTGGCTTATTTCGTTAAAGACATTTCGATGCCTAACATTCAATCTGCAGCTGGCGAAACCAGGGTTCCGAGAAAATCGCATTTAAGACCCAGTTAAAGTTCTTAAATTCATCGAATTTATTCGTGATACTTTCATGATATACTTTTAAAAAGTATTGTACCGACTTATAAAATAAATGTTAACCGTTTTTTTTCAATATGTATCTTCTTCATTTGACAGGCAGGCCATGACAAAGAGTCCTATTTGAAAACTTCGCTCCTGTCTACATTAATCACAAATTATCTCTGGACTCTTATCTGATATATGTTAAATGGTGCAATGATAATCAATTCAATTTAAACGTATCCAAGTGCCAAGTTGTTATTGTGTGTAGGCCGCAGAACATGCTGATCATGTTGGTGTCTGTATGGACCCAAACTTAAATTTTCAGACGTCAGGGTGGTATTTTATCAAAAGATGACCCATATGTCATAAAGACCTTTATAATTTCGTAAGTACTCAGTCCTTTATACCCGTCGCTTGTAAAGTAAGAGGACTTATTGTGTGTTGGTGTTAGGTTGCGTTTTAGTCTGATATTTTCAACCCTAAGCCGACGCTTGACCTTGAGTTGGCTAAAAACTTTTCAAATAGTAAAAAGGTCGCACAAACTAAACATTTGAGGAAAACGGAAAACACGACAAACTGGGTGCTTTATTTTATAAAAATAGGCATTAATTTAAATAGTCTGCCATGCGAATTCTCTCTCTTGCAGAAAGAACTCCAATAACAACAAGAAAGAAAGGTAACTTCGGCTTGCCGAAGTTATAATTATTAAATTTAAAAATACAAAAAATGATATTCCCAATAGTATAAGATAATATGCCAAAAAACACCGAAGCTATAATTTGTTTTATATAATTTTCCCACCAATTTTCCGATCGTTCCTATGGCAGCTATGTGGCACCCTGCTGAAACAAACTTGCGGTGCGCAGGAATCTCAGGAATCTGCATGCCTAATCTCAATAGCCTGGCTCTTATAGTTTCCGACATCTCAGCGTTCATACGGACAGACGGACATGGCTAGATCGACTCGTCTAGTGATCCTGATCAAGAATATACACTGGTGGAAAAAATAATAGAAACGGCTTACTCATTTTCGTTTTTTTTTATTTCATAAAAAACAAAGTAGATATATCTCATATATTTTTTTAACATATACTTAAGTTTGTTTTATAATAAGGAACAAAAAGATTTTTATAATTCACGTGTGGACTTAAAGAATTAATTTTGAGTTTTTACCCTGGAAAAAATAATAGAAACAAAACGTTGAAACTTCAAAAGCCATAATGACTCCTAAACTAATATTTAGTAGTATTACCTTTACATTGCAATACTGCAAGGCATCGGCGAGGCATAGAGTGCCCAATGTGTCTTTTAGATCAATTCCTTATTGTCAACATAATTCAAGAACCGACGAATGATCCAAAAATTGAATTTAGACTTTTTGGCATCGCGGAGTGTAGGGAGCGAGAGAGAAGTGAGAGAGAGTGAGAAGCAAAGTAACGGCACTTATTCTGATCGAATAAAGGAAATAAAGAGAACCTTGTTTAATGATTTAAATTAGCTCAAAGTAGCGTAGTCTGTAGAGCTACTGTCTCTGAATTCAAAAAGACCGTGTTCGGTTCATGATTTGACAACAATCCGTTCGCTATGTTCCGTTTATAAAAGCGAATACCGCGTGGTTAAATCATTTTATTAAGACATTATTTGTAATGTTTATATGATTATATGTACTTCTATTAATAAATAAATTGTTTGTCATCATCAAAATTCGTTCGGTACGGTCTACACTAAGGCGTTTCAAAAAAATGAAATCATCCATATCTTTGATTTTGTGGTTTGAGTTTTGCGCATTTGCAACGTTGTAAAAATTCAAATGTTAAGCTTGCTATATAAAAAAGCAACTCAAATAAATATGCCCGAATTTTACTAACTCTTAATTCTGCGTGCGATCTAATTCAAATTTTCGCAGTAGGATAAGAAATTCCTAAGCAAGTACATTAATACTTCTAAGGGTATTTGAAAATCTGTACTCTAGCAAGGTAAAAAGTATCCAAATATTTGTATACCTATGGTTATAGCTACAAGAAAGTTATACCTTAGTAAACGTATCAACACTGCAAATATACATACATGGTATAATGGCTGTGTTCCGCTGTTTTGCCCGTTAATACTGTCATTGCCTCGTAAAAGTGAAATGTCATCTGATCTGCTTATTTTCAAGCAATTACCCATTTCATCCGTTTTAGAAGGATTTACCTGAAATACATAACTTGTGTTAAATAAATTTATATATCATTGCCTTCTTAAACGTACTTAACGTCTTAAAGCAAAATATTGGCCACCTTGACTGATTCCAATTTAACGTACATAAGATATATTTTTTCTAATGCGACGCATTTAGGCGCCATTTAAATTTTTGTTGAAATAAATCAAATCTTTTTAACCAATTAACACAATTTAATAATCTAAAAGATAAATAATGACACAACCTATAAAATTAATGTTTTAATTTAATGTAGTGAAGCAACGTCGAAGTTACCTACTTTAGTGTATGTCGAGTAAAACGATTATATTTAGTTACCATTTTTATACCCTTGCAAAAGGTATTATGATTTCAGTCAGAAGTTTGCAACGCAATGAAGGAGACGTTTTCGACCCCCTAAAGTATATGTATTCTTGATCAGCATCACTAGACGAGTCGATCTAGCCATGTCCGTCTGTCCTTCCGTTTCTACGCAAACTTTCCCAAAAGTCTTCTTTCTTTTGCAGGTGTATATAAGTCGAAACCAACCGGATCGGACAACTATGTCTTATAGCTCCCATAGGAATAATCGGAAAAAAACATCTCACAAAATTATTTCTTTGGTGTTTTTTAACATATAACCTCCTACGCTTGAAAATAACATATCTTAATAAGTTCTGAATTTTGAATTTAATTTTATTAAAATCGGACGACTATATAATGCTGCCATAAGAACGATCGGAAAATTGGTTGGAAAATAATATGAAACAAACTATAGCTTCGGTGTTTTTTGACATATTATCTTATACGAATGGGAATATTATTTTTTGCATTTTTAAGAACTTCAAATTAAATTTAATAAAAATCGGACGACTCTAACATATAGCTGTCAAAGAAACGGTCAGAGAAATAAAGAAATAATTATTTTAAAAAAAAACTTTGTTTTGTTGATCTTAATCGTATGTTCTTTCACTCTGGGATATAGAATATTTAAACTTTTCAGCATTCAGAATTTAATTTTACACAAATAACATGGTGTTACCAACATTGATTATTTCTTATAACTGCAAGGGTCTACAAACTTCGGTTTGCCGAAGTTAACTTCCTTTCTTGTTGTTAGATAACATTTTAAAGTTATTAAAAAATTATTGTTTTGTTATTATAATAAAAACAAAAAAACTCACAAATAAAACTAGTCGTCACCCAAAACAATACAAAATTTAAATTAAAACCCATTTTTTTAAAGAATTAATAACATTATTCTTAATACTAATGATCATTATTTTGCCTATTTGACTAGCGTAGCTTGACTGAAATGTATTGGTCCCGTCAATATCTATGGATTGATCTAAAGTTTTCCACGCCCACTATAACGCCGACGAACCTCCCAAGAAGAAAAGCAATGACGTCAGAGCCAGACAGTAACAAATGTATTTAAATAATGTGTGTGTGTAACTAGTTGCAGGCCAATCTGCGCGGCAAAGCGATATGCCCTGCAGGCGCTAAGAGAGAGCAGAGTGGGCGGCAAACTTATTCTAGTGAATAATTAACAATTGGAGCAATTTGTTCTTTTTGTCTCCAACTTTATTTCTCCAATAAACTTAATACCAATTTCAATAACGTAATTCCAATTAGGTTAATGTTAACCTTAAATTATTGAAAAACAATGGAAGGGCCACGGGAGGGGGTCCTCTCGCTCTTTGCAGTTCTTCTCTTTGCATTATTACATGCAGTGCATTCACACAAGCGAAAAAAAGAGACCAAAGATCGTTTACCCCGTATTGAAAAGCAATAGAAGGCAGTAAAAGGCCTGAAATGTTGTGCACGTAACAGCGCTGTAAATCTTTCTTTTTTCCCAATAGTCTACGACTTTCTCTCGTATGGCGAAACCCGTGTGCGTATTGCGATTTTTTTGGGAATCTTCGAAGCGTATTAAAATTTTAAAGGGGTCATCTCAACATTTTAACAAAACTTTTCTAAATTGTTAATTTAAATGCTGAGTAACGGGTATCTGACGGTCGAGACACTCAAATATAGCGTTCTCTCTTGTTTTAGTTATTTTGTTAAAGTGATAAGGTGGCAAGGCCTTTCTATTGTCTCTTTCTGGGTCCTTCATCTTAATAATCCACGGTCTCTTTCATCCATGAATAGATGGCTCTACGTAGTGGAGCCTATCAAAAATGCCAGTGGTGAATATTAGTTTCAACTAACAAATGTGTTATTAAAGTCCGTATTGGGTCATTTTGTTCTATAAAGTTAGCGGTTAACTTTGTTTAGAAGAACGGCGAGTCCGATGCCTACATTTACACGATGCCACGATTCCAGTTTTGACAGTTCGTTTTACTATTTCGTCTAGGCTTTCAAGTTGATAGACTCAACTCCAGCCACATATTTTTTATTGTTTACTAGTTATTGTAGTGATCTTGCCGAGAGCGAGGCAGTTTCAGTCTAACGTAGTCTGAGCATGGGCAAGAGTGAGATAGACACTTTTACTAAAAAAAAGTGTATAAGTATTAGGAGTGTAAAATGAAATCGCTTTTGGAGTTGCCTGAGAAGAAGTCATGCCGTGCCAGAAAACGTTTCGCCAAGAGTCCTGAATAGGAACTAGTCCTGAAAGGAAACAATGGTTTTAAATCGGGGCTTTAAATACTACAAGTTATTAAGTACTTATACTAAAAACCTTAAGAAATCGGGTGTAGATTTTATTGCTTTACTTTTAGTGATCAATGTTCTGATACTTGGTTATGTTATGTTATTTCCACTTGGCCTTTTCCCAAAAAAAAAGTTTGGACTTTTATCGATACAAACTACATACAACTTATTCATGTTTGACAACGTTTGATATCGATTAACGATTAATCAAAAACTTTCCTGGGAAAAAGAGTGGAATGAAATCGTGAGCATTTTCGTGCCATCGTCAGGACAGGAGTGCATCGATAAGCTTAAATCTTTGTATAACGATGAAGTACCATCCTAAACCACTGTGAAAAACTGTTTTAACTGAAGAATTCGCGGCCTAATTAGAGTCATCCATCAAACGCTGAATAGGTCGCGGACTTCTCGTTTAAAGTAAACAGGGGATGAATTTATTTTTGGAAACCACTCTGTGCTAGTCATTTCCTTTAAAAAAAAAACGGACCAACAAAAAGTATATAGAAACGATTTAAAAAAATTTTTCACTATTTACAAAGTATAATTTTGTGACACATGTGCCAATGTCATGCCGACAGTCAGGATGGCAGTTGAGTAGGGTCCCTATTTCCGGAGAGAAAATAAGAGAAAAGTAGCTACGTGATGGAAACAACTTTGGTAGTACTCTAAAAAATAATGTGCTTATTCACGAAATTGTCGAAAAAATTACACTGTGTAAAGATTAAGGGCGGTGGCATAACTATTACTTTAACCGCAGCTTGATGTCTGCTACATTTATCAACAAAATCCAGCCATACAGACTTAACTTCTGAAACTAACTTGCGCTGCGTATTTCCTTACATGCCAAATCTTTCATTTCTAGCCTTTATGGTTCCGGAAATCTCAGCATTTGTATCGCATCGGCTGGTTATCCTCACCAAGAATAGATTTGGCATTTATCCACCCAGTCACAACGGGCCAACGGATTTTTATCCTTACATCCAAAAAAAAGTGTTCTATTATGAGTTATTATTATTAATATATATATATGAATTTACTTTGTCAAATGTGTAAGCATTTTTCGTCACACAATTTGATCCAATAACTTTGGTATGTTGAAGGTGCGATGGTCACGACCCCTTACCTCGTTAGACATTTTTATACCCGTTACTCGTAGAGTAAAAGGGTATACTATTGGGTTGGCAAGAAAGTCATGTCGTTTTTTTTCAATATTTTCAAAGATGATTTATTTATATCAGGACTTATAATTAATCAATTATGTATTGGCCGTTTTGTTCGACCACTAATGACCATCTCTCGGGCAGCTGCATAATTCCGCGCTCGAAGAACTTTTGGTCTTTTCCAGCAAAGAATCGAGACAAGTGGTTTTCGACAGCCTCATCTGAATCAAAGTTTTTACCATTCAAAGAGTTTTGAAGAGAGCGAAACAAATGGTAATCTGAAGGTGCTAAGTCCGGACTATAAGGTGGATGTGGTAGCACTTCCCAATTCAGCTCCGTTAATTTTTGCCGAGTGACCAAAGATGTGTGGGGCCTAGCGTTGTCATGGTGAAAGACTATACCCTTGCGATTAGCTAGTGCCGGCTCCTTTTCTTTAATTTTTTCCGCCAAATTGGATAGCTGGCGACAGTACACATCTGAATTGATGGTTTCATTCCGTCCCAGCAGCTCAAAGTGCACTACACCCTTCCAATTCCACCAAACAGACAGCATAACTTTCCTCTGATGGATATCGGCCTTTGATGTGGCTTGGGCTGGCTCATCTTTCTTGCTCCATGATCTTTTTCGTTGGACATTATTGTAAACAACCCACTTTTCGTCGCCAGTAATGATCCGCTTCAAAAAAGGATCGTTTTTAATCCGTTGCAGCAGAGAATAGCAGATGTTGATACGCTTAGTTAGGTGAATTTCCTTTAAGTTATGCGGAACCCAAACATCGAGCTTGCTTACGTAGCCAAGTTTCTTCAAATGGTTTTCAACCGTTGTATGCGACACACTGAGCTTCTCTGACATCTCCCGCGTTGAATAGCGCCGGTTTTCATCCAGCAAAGCCTGAATTTGTTCGTCAAAAACGGCCGATGGTCGACCAGAACGTGGGGCGTCTTTAACTCCAAAATCTCCAAGCCTGAATTTGGCAAACCAGCGCTGACATTGGCGATCACTCATGGCATCTTTACCATACACTTCGCACAATTTTTCGCGAGCTTCGACCGCTTTTTTTCCTTTTCGGAAGTAAAAAAGCAAAATATGCCGAAAATGCTCACTTTGGTCCTCCATGTTTAATTTGCTATAGCTTCCACAAATGTTATCGAATAATTACCAAATTTTCGTCGATAGTACCTAAGACAATAAGCTTTAAAACG